AAAAAAAAAAAAAAAAAAAAAAGGCAGCAAAGCATCAGTACTTCTCTGCCCTTACTGCATCTGCGGATAGCCATCCTGCAGCCCTGTTCTGGGTCACACGTGCCCTCTTGGATAGAGAGGGCCTGGATTATCCCCTGCAGGGGCATGCTGAAGAATCTGTTCAGCATTCATCAGACAAAGTCACTTGAATTCGCTCACAGTTAATCGTGCTTTTGGATGATCTCTGGTGTGGGCAGGATGGGGTTGTGCATCCATCCTTGCCCTACTTGATCTCTCGGCAGCTTTCAATACCATCAACCGTGGTTTCCTTCTGGATTGACTCAAAAGGTTGGGGGGTGGGCAGCACGATTGGGGGTTGTGTATCCATCCCTAACCTACTTGACCTCCTGGCGGCTTTCAATACCATCGACCATAGTATCCTTCTGGATTGACTCAGAGGACCAGGGGTAGGTGGTTGTGCTGGTTTTCCTCCTTTCTTAGGTGATGATTCCAGTCAGTGGTGATCAGGGGGAAGAGATCCTGCCCTCGGCCCCTACTGTGTGGGATGCCACAGGGTTCAGGGCTCTCTCCGCTCCTATTTAACATCTACATGAGGCCACTGGGTGAGCTCATCTTTCGCCATGGGGTGAAGTATCACCAGTATGCTGATGATACTCAATTATACATGTTTGCCCCCTGTGAACCAAGTGGGCATCTTAGTGGGTGTCTTATCCTGGTGCCTGGAGGCTGTGAGGATTCGGATGGGGAACAACAGGCTTCAACCGAACCCTGGCAAGACTGAGTGGCTTTGGGTTTTGGGGCCCACCGGTTCTAGGACTATACCATCTTTGCTGCTGGGTGGGGTTGCACTGCCCCAAACAGACCCTGTGTGCGATCTGGGGATTCTCCTAGACTCACAACTCGTGTTCGAGGAGCAGGTGGTAGTCATGGCTAGGAGCGCTTTTGCTCAATTTCATGTTATACGTCAGTTGTGCCTGTTCCTAGATTGAGGGGCTCTACTCACAGTCACTCATGCTCTAGTCACCTTCCAGTTGGACTATTGCAATGTGCTCTATATGGGGCTCCCCTTGAAGAGTATCCGGAAGCTTTAGCTGGTGCAGAATGAAGCGGTGCAAGCAGTTGTGTTTCCAGAAGAACCCATGTTACACCTCTGCTCCATGAGCTGCACTGGTTACCAGTCTGTTTCCAAGTCCAATTCAGTGTGCTGGTTTTGACCTTTAAAGCTGTACATGGCATGGGACCGGGTTATTTGAGGGATTACCTCTCCCTGATTACATCTGCCTGTCCCACCAGATCCAGCAGAGAGGGCGTGCTGAGGGTCCTGTCAACTAGAGAGCTTCATTTGGTGGGTCCTAGGTGGTGGGCCTTTTCTGCTGTGGCCCCCACTTTATGGAACGTCCTTCCCTCCAAAGTGAGGCTGGCCTCATCCCTTTTAGCTTTCCGAAGATCCCCCAAGACCTGATTGGGTCAGCAGACCTGGAGACCATAGGGGACTGACGAAATATTGAGATGGCTCCTGTGTAATTAACACCTCCTCTTCGCATAATCTCTTTTTTATTCTGTTTTTAGTTTTGTGCCTTTTATAATTTTATAATTTTTAATATTAATAATGTTAATATTAATTTGTATATTTTGTTTTTAACTTTGTTGCATGCTGCCTAGAATTATGATTGTGAGATGGGCAGCTATATAAATAAGATGAATAAATAAATAATAAATTTTAAAAGGTTATTGTTTTTGACTTAGCTATTTCAGATTTAAAATGGTCTGCTTTAATTATCCTGAAGATGTTCTAGCTTAAAAAAAATGTTTGGGCTATGAAACACAATTTTGAGGTAAAATACTTCCAAAATTATTCAGATGGCAAGTTTTGAACAGAAAACAAAGGTTTCAAATATTTCACACAACAGTTTCAAATCAGAAGCAGGATGTTTCAAATGCAAAACGGTTCAAATTCAAAACATTTTGCACACCCCTATATTTTAATCATAAAAAAGCTTTACAGTTAGACTTTTTTCCATAGATAGATGGGAGACAAATCACTGGAACATATTCTGAGTTTTCTAGCATAGAAAAATTGAACAAGAGATGTTCCTAAGAGACAAACCTACCACATAGCACTGTAAAGTAGTATCTCATAAATATGGAACATTAAACATCAAATCCCAATGTCTCTATAGAAAATAATCTTGTAATAAAAAAAAATTATATGTCAGTCAGTGCTGGACAAGCACATTGCTTTAAAGTACTGTTGATAACAACTTTCCAGATTACTCTTGAAATGCTCCCAAATGACTGGCAATACAACTGGATATTTAACACTAAAGAAGCAGTACTGAAATATTCCACTCATATTTGTTTTGCTCCAGTATCAGCTCCTGATGTTTGATTCATCAGTTTCTGTCCTGTCCTAAAACCTATGAGCTGAAACAGCTGTGCAAGTTTGCTTCAATCCCTTACAACTGAAAGATGCTGAAGAGAATCACTCTTATTGCTGGTTCTCAAATGATAGAAGATAGCAATCAAATGTTTACCTCTGGTAGTCTGTGTATCTTTTGAAACTGAGATATGGAATATGACCGGATGTAATCTCCCATTTCTTCCCGGGTTTCTATTGCACGTTTTACAAGCCACTAAGAGCAACAAAGGAAAAGAATGAAAAAGTGTGTGCGGGGGGCGGGGGGAATAAAAGAAAAATTAATGGCATTAAAGTAGCAACTTGCATGCTTACATAGGATCTGGATATGTTACATCTATCAAAAAGGCAATTAAGAAAATGAACCTCTTCTTTTAATCGGCAGAGCTCTTTGCTCAAGAAAGTAATCTTTAAAAATCAAGAAGCGTGTACCTGTACGACAGGAAAGATGTGAATGAAATCCAACCCCTGTATTTGATGTGGCTCCAAGCGGTGAGGGCACTTCATTCTAGGCAAAACTGATACAATTTTCTCTGTTAAGGCACTGGAAAAAGGCAAATATGAGACGATTTAGAAGTGTGCAAGTGCACATACAACATCCTGAAAGAGCCCTCTAGTGGATAAAATTGAACTGCCAGTGAACACCACATCCCACTGGTAATTTCTTTAGGAATCTCAACCTAATACAAAGAGCCTTATTTTTCATGTAAGTGGATACAGGATAAAAGACTAAAGTGATACAAATGCTGCACACAAGAACTTAACAATATTAAGACAGGTCTGATCATTTCCATGACAAATCATTTGAACCATAGCCTCAGGTCTTATCTTCTAGAAAAAAAAGCTCTGAGACAAACTTTTAAATATTTAAGATTGTCTATCATAATATGTCACCTTTAAGTTGCTTCTTGCTAAGATACATATAGTAGACAGACTGGGGGCTTTCCATAAAGCACTCCTCATAGCAGGGTGCAACAGTACCCCATTCCCACTTGCACGGATCAATGAAAACAGCATTCAGTTGTGATGATTTTGGCGTTACCTAAAAAACTGATTTGAGAATGATGTATAGAAATTAAGTGTCTGTTTTTCAAGGGTACTATGAAACTCAAGATAATTGGGAACTCTTGCACAACTTTCCCAGATAAATAAAATTTGTGCTGAAAACATCATGCAAGCCAAAAAGTTACTTTCCAAGTGCTTCCCCACCAACTTACATTTTTTGACCAATTGTTGAGTTTTCCTGAAATAATAAATCAACATCAATGTCAAAGTTGCACGTTGTGATACACCAAGTCATGCCACCAACCACCTAGAACAAGATAAACGTATTCTTTAAATTGTCTGGAGTGGAAAATCCAGTTAATGCCATATTACCACCTGTTAGACTTAACAGCAAAAATGTAATTCATATTTCTTTAACTTAGTAGCAGTTCCAGAATTTACTATCGATTGCAAGATATCTCCTTTTAACTCTTACTAGAGCAGCCATATTTATTTCCTTTTAATACAAAACTGAAGAGAATTAAAAAACCAAAACAGTTGTTCTTTTAATCTGTATTTCAGTTAAAACGTGTAACGTTTTGGTTAAAATCAGCAAAATGATGAAATTTAATTAATCTGCTGATTAGACCATGCAGCCTACACACAGTATCATAGTAATGATACATGAATATAGTCTTACCTTATCAAAAGGAGACAGACCTTTAATTCTTGCCCTGAAGTATCCAGCTGCCACCAAGAGCTCTAAAATTTCACTTAACTTGATATTTTGTTCTTCATCCTCTCGTGTTTCAACCTAAAAAGATAATTAGAGGGTTCCATATTAATAAAAATTATCGCTTTGGAGTGGGGTGGCACACTAATCAAATCAATTAGTAAGTTAAAATAAAATTTATTTTTTTCAATACACGTTATATTTATATCATAGTACATGTTCTATAGATTAGCTCATGATACACATCAATATTATCATAACCAGTTCTGCACATTCAAAGAAGTGTCCAAGGCTGGGTCTTCATTTCAAAGCATGATCCTCTCCCTGCCTCAGCAGAGAGTATAAGATGTGAGACATTGCTGTGAGTATAAGATTACAGCTTAAAAATTGTGCTATCATAGCCCCAAATTTTATTTTTATGTGGCCATGTATTTTAATACTACTTCTGCCAGAGCTTCTTGGATGAAGATAATTCATTATGTATTTATTAAATTAATATCTTGTCTTTTCACCTGACATAATGCTTAAGAGAGGAGTTTTTAATCCTACTGTAAAATAATTTGTGGAGAAAATTACTTAAATATAGCTTATTTATTTGATTGGATGCTGCATGACCAAACAACCTTGTAGACAATTCTGTGGATTTATCCAGATCAAAAATGCTGGTAGAATCTAAAGTATAATACAACTTCAAAGGTAGTATTACCAATGCATGCATCTAGTCATCAGTTATGGTTAACGATACATGCGAAGTACAAATATATATATATATTTTTAATTGTGCCTATATACTGCCAATTCAATAAAAATGACTACCAGTGGTTTTGCATTTATACCAATCCCAATTACGTTTCACAACATAGGAACGCATGTGAAGACAACAAACTCCAAGTTTAAAATCATGAGCATCTGCAAATGCACCACAAAAATAAACCTCTAAATCAAATCAGTGATTCTCAAACTGTGGACCATGGATCACTGGTGGAGATCCAGCACATGGTCTAACGCAGACTCTCTACATTCGCGGGCCAGTATCCAAGTGCTGCCTCAAACCAACAGCCAGCTGGTTTGCAAGAATGGATCGGTGGCTGAAAACTGCTTCACTGAAACTCACAAGTGGCAGTACAAGTAGCAATACGAGTACTAAAATTCAGAAGACTGAATTTCAGAACTGTTACCAAGTGTGGGTCCACATGAGCTATGAAACGATGATTTTGCATAAGCAATCCCAAGAGAAATGTGCAATTAGGAAATGCAGTGATGAATATCTAAGAGTGGGCTGGAGATCAACCTAATCCTAGCCCCTTAATAATCAGATTTTTGTTAAAGAACATTTGTGACCAGCAAGTTCCTATTAAGACCTGTTATGATTATGTCAGGGGTTCCATTAAAAAATTCAAAGGATAAATTAATATTTAATTTTGGATTTTTTTGGTACAATATTTAAAGTAAAGATGCTTTAAAAATGAACAGAGATTGGAAGGTATGTACAGATGCAACCATAACAATCATCTAATTCACCATAAAATGTGAACTTCCATGATCTTAAAAATGAAGACACAGGGAGTGGGTTAAAAAGGAAGACACTGCATTTTCTAAATGTTTATTTAGTGATCCAGCAAGGGCTTATCTGCACAGCTCAATGTGTTTTCCCCTTGTTCTCAGGAAGGATGGAAAATAAGTTGGCTTGAGAACCACAGCCCAAACAGTGTTCCTGTTACCATGCCTCAAGAACAAGAGTGGTAGAGTCACTGCCTCACACGCGGGTAACGATTTGGGCTGTGGCTGTTGGGAAATGATGAAACTGAGAATAGCAGCTAATGGGAAAGGGATTTTTCTCCTCTGCTGCAAAATGGGATCACCTTTCTTTTAATTTATAGGAAACTGTTATGCCACTGTTACGTGAATTGAATTATGCTCTTTCATACAACACATTATTTCTGGGTGTTAAGTTCTATAGGACAGACTTCCTTTAATTGGAAATATCAAGCTATTATAGACAGATAAACTAATCATTTAATATAATGGAAACTATAGAAATGGAGACAGCAGTGAAAACTGTAAACCACCAAGCATTTAATGAAGCATGTTGGGGATTTGCAAAAGAATGAGGCAGGAAACATAAAGAACAGCATGGTGGAAAGTACTGCAGGCTGCATGGTCCCAGTTAAGGCTGCAAGGAGGTTACCGGGGAAAATGTAAACTCATGAAAATCCATTTTTGGTCTTCCGCTAGAGCAGTGTTTCTCAACCTTGTCAACTTGAAAATGTGTGGACTTTAACTCCCAGAATTCCCTCGCCAACAAGCGGGGAAGGGGGGGGGGGGGGAATTCTCGGAGTTGAATTCCACACATCTTCAAGTTGCCAAGACTGAGAAACACTGCCTTAGAGAATTTCTTGACCATGCATCAGACCTGGAAAAGGTATGTCTCAAAGAACTTTGGTTAGCTGTATTTTTGCATGAGAATTTTCTATGAAACATCCATGTACTGTATGTATGAAAAAGATTAGGAAAGGAACTCAAATTTCTTTAGGTTTTTTTTTTTGCTTTATTTATACCCAGTAGTGGAACAAAGGGGGGGGGGGAGGAAACAGTAACAAAGAGAAAGAGAAAGAGAGGGAGAGTGAAAAGAAAGCTATGCAAATTCCCTAATTGTGGAATCCCCTCCCTATTCTGTTAGGCTGGCCCTAAGGTATTCCAATGGCACAAGCCATTTTATCCACACAAAAATAGGACAATGTACAACCGTCTTTTTAAAATGTTGCAATCCCAAACCACAATCTCACACACGTTCAACATTGGTGCTTCCTGGCATCCAGGAAGCATTTTCGGTGCTGTGGTAACCTCGCGTTTGCAACAAGAGTCGGCTGGAATGGAAAGGCATAGCACTCTGTGTGTGTGTGTGTGTGTGTGTGTGTGTGTGTGTGTGTGTTAAAAAAGCCCTGATCATACATAGAATGGCTTCGGCTCACGGATTAGCAATGCTCCGACTACCCAATCCAATTTCAGGAAAAAAAAAAAAAACAGAGAAACTTGGGGCACCCTAAAGACTAATACACTTCTTAGGACATAACACTTCACAGACGCCCGTCCACTTCATCAGCTGTACAGAGCTTCATCCCCCGGTTGAGGAGAAAGAGTCAAAGAAAAAACTCGGAAGGAAACGGGTTTTTCCTTCCTCTGGAAAGAACGCGGCTCATTCTCGAGTTGTTTCTTCCTCCTCCTCCTCCTCCTCCTCCTCGCCTAGCGACGTGCGTTCTCCACTCCCGAGTGACATTTAGGAAAGAAGGCAATACACGCAAGGTTCGCTTGCAGCAACAGGGCGGGAGGCAGAAAGGGAAGCTAGATCCCAATAATCCCACGACTCTTTCCTTTACCTCCTGGGGAGGCTGATGTTCCTGCCCCTTAAGGGTACCCATATCCGCGCCTTCTCTCCAGCTGCGGCGGCACCGCTTCCTTCTCTTCTGTCACATCCGCTCGCGCCGGATTAAAGACTCGCCCACTTAAGTGGGGAAGGCGTGGGTGGCTCTTCCTCTCCTTCCGCAAAATCATGCTCTCCCTCTTTTTCCGTTGGTTTGGACCGCCCTCAGCTATGCGGCGCGCAGACCTAGTATGGACCGTACCACTCTATTAAAAACAAGGGGGAGTGCGAAAACAGAAGGCGCTCAGGTGGCTCTTTGGAGCAGAAGGTGCGCTGGCGGGGTGGATGTTCGGAGGAATAAGCCGAGCCCGAAATCAGATTTTTGTAGAGGAATGCCTGGCCCTTATTCCCATGTTAGTTTGTTGTTTCTTGTTCATTATGGAAATTAGTGACAACGCCCCATTTCTGAGAAGGTAAACTGTTGTCTGCCCGAAAGGTAAACACATCCTCGAGGTGAGCTGATTCTTAATGACTGTACCCATGCAAGTATTTTGGCAGAATTATAAAATTTATACCCCTGCAATTTCTGGGAGGTTCCCATTCACGTATTGACCATGTCTGTCCCAAGTTAGCTTTTCAAGAGGAGCTTTTTGAGGTGTCATCTAACTGAACCTGATCAATGGAGCAACCTGCTTTTCTGTTGTATATAACAAAGTGAATTACCAAAGGGCAAAACAATCCACTTACTTACAATCCTATTATGACAAGAGCTCACTTAGCCATCTTTTGTCTGTATTTAGTTAGAAGTGTATTTATTTATTTAAACTTACTTATTGAAATAAATTGATATGGCTGCCCACCTCACAAATGCAACTCTGGGGCGCTGACAAAGATGAAAAAATACAAGATAAACAATGTACAATATTTCACAACCAACTAAAATGCAAACCGGCTGCTGAAGACACCAACAGTGTGGGCGTAATAACTCTCCTGACCCCCATGCCTGTGAAACCAGCCAGGTCTTCAAGCTTTCTAAAAGGTGAGCAGAGTTGGGGCCAACCTAATCGCAGGTGACGTGGTGTTCCAGATGGCAGTTGCAGCTATGGACAGGGCATGCTGCTAGATTGGTGGGGCCTGGAGCATGCCCCTCCTACTTAATGATATGGGTAGAAACAATGGGAGTAAGGGGGTCCCTCAAATACCCTACCCCATGCCATGTAGAGCTTTATGGATAATAACCAATACCTTGAATTGCACCCAGAAGCAAATTGAAAGCCAGTGCAGCTAGCAGAGCAAAGGTGTAACATGAGCATAGCAGGGCACGCCCATAATAGGGTGCACTGCTGCATTCTCGATCAACTGAAGCCTCTAGATGTTCTTCAAGGGTAGCTACATGTAGAACATATTGCAGTATCCACTCAGGTGACCAAAGCATGAATGACTATGTGGAGTTCCTCCTGATCCCGGAAGGGGGACAATTGGTGCACAATACAAAGTTGTTCAAAGGCCCCCTAGCCCCAGCTGCCACCCGCTCTTTGAACAGGAGCCTTGAGTCCAAGAGGATCCCCAAATTGTCCACCAGTACTGTCTGGGATAGTGCAACTCCATCTAGAACTAAGGATGGGAAATCACCAGATCCATGAGGCCCTAATACCCAAAGCTAGGGTTGAGCTGAAGCCTGATTATCCCCATCCAAACCCCCACAGCCTCCTGGCACTGAGGCAGAACCTCCGCAGAGTCATTTGGCTAGCCAGTGGTAGAGATATATAGCTGAGTATCAGCAGCATATTGATGACACCTCAACCCAAGTAGTTGAATGACCTCTCCCAGCAATTTCATGTAGGAGTACGGAGAGAGTCGATCTCTGAATCCCCATGTAAGAATGTCTGTGGCGTAGGCCTCTCTCCCCATCCATACTGACTGGAACCAATCCTGGTGGAAGAAGAAGAACTAGCACAACATTATGCCCCCAACTCCTAACCACAGTCAAAGATTTTGAAGGCCACTGAGAGATCAAAGACAGCTAGGAAGGACATGCTACTCCATCCTAAAGATCATCCACAAGTGCAACCAATGCCATTTAGTCCCATACCCTGTCCTGAAACCCAACTGGAGAGGGTCTAGATAATGTGTTTCATCCAGCACCCTCCGAAGCTGCAAGGCAACCATATTCTCAACAACCTTCCCTACAAAAGGCCGGAGACAGGGCGAACATTGTCCAAAACAGTTGGGTCTAAGACTGGCTTCTTGAGGAGGGGCAGATCGCTGTCTCCTTAAGACATGTTTCAAGGATGCATTCACCACCACCCAGACCCAACTGCAGATTGGCTCCTGGGCAGTCTTGGCTAGCCAGAAAGGAGACCGAGATAGCTGAATTTACAGCCTAAGAAACCTGTCTACTTAATACTAACAGCATCAAACTCACCCTAGATAACCAAGCTAAAATGCACTTCAGTCAACTCCACAGGACATATACCAAGGCCAGAGTCCAATTTGGAGCAAATCTGAGGGGCTTTATTCAGAAGAGGTCTAGCATATTCCTCATCAGTAAGTGGATCTCAAGCCCCAACTTCCCCAGAAGAGACTGGGTCACCCGAAACACAGCCACCATCTGTGGATGCATAAGGACAGAAAATGGATGAGGCTTTGCAGCTCCAATTCCCACAAGGTAGACCTTAATAGTGGTTTTTGATCATGTTCAGTGGGTTCACTGTGCGTTGTCCTCTAGTGGCACTCTGGGCATCTCCTTCCCCCATTTCATCTCCCGAAGCTCCTCTATAAACCAAAGGGATGCTGGGATCCACAGGAGGAGAGATGCTGCATAGGGATGATCCAGTTCAAAGCCCCAGTTACCCTCTCATTCCAAGTGGTGACTGAGCCTTCTGCTGGACCATGTGCCAAATCTTCAGGAACAACCCCAAGTTCCCTCTGGAACCCTATTCATTTGAGCCCTACTCATTTCAAAGAGACTTAAGTGTGAATGGAATTGCAACTTTAATTTTGGTCCACAGAGAATAAAATGCACTGGTATATGTACAATGTACTGTCGGGGAAAGGGAACTGTAGCATTCCAGGGTGACTCTACAATTTTAGGAAATAAATCCACCAACCAGAAATTCATAGTATAATATAGCTGTTAATAAATGAATTACAGCAGCACTTCTGTAGGCAAATTCCAAATGTGCGGACTTCTAATTTATTTGCTAGATTTATATCCTACCTTTGTATAGGAGTTCAAGGTGGCATACACTTCAGTCCTACTTTTTTCCCCCACAACTATAACCCAGGGAGGTAGTTTGGGCTGAAAGACTTCTTTGTGTTTCTTATCAACAATTGTTAAGTCTGGGTGTTGCGTGACAAGTGTTTGTCTGTTTGAATTCTAAAGTCTCAGAGCACTTTAGCTTCTTCATTTTCTATTACTTTTGTGGTCCCACCAGTTCTTGCTGGCAGGCAAATGGTATTTCTTGCAGATATTCTACAAACAACAGCATGACAAAATATCAACAAGTGTTTGTCTGTTTGAATTCTAAAGTCTCAGAGCACTTTAGCTTCTTCATTTTCTATTACTTTTGTGGTCCCACCAGTTCTTGCTGGCAGGCAAATGGTATTTCTTGCAGATATTCCAATGCACCATTGTTGATATTTTGTCATGCTGTTGTTTGTAGTCAGTCTGTGCGATCTTCTTGCAGCAGGTGGAGGATAATGCCCACTATTGAACCAAATTGTAACCATAATGGTTTCATTGATTTTCCTTTTTTTATTCAGGCATGCATGCCTATGCACTGTGCATATACAAGGTGGCTTCAGATATTATTAATCTGCATTGTGATCTTGATTTCAGAATCCCAATATTTTGTGGAACTGGAATGAAAAATTCCTAATCTCCACCTAAATTCATACACGGTGCTAAGTCATGGTTTGTTCACCCATAGCACTGAATGAACCACAGTTAGGTGGATTCATACAAAATGCCATAAACTATGATTTGTATGATACACTGTCAAACTTAAGCAAACCATATTACAGCTTAGTGTGTCATCTAACTCCAATTTTTAAGTTGACCTCAAGATTGGTCAGTTAGGCTGTACTCTTATGCATATTTATTTGGGAATAAACTGTATTGATTCTGAGAAATACATACAAGATACACATTTAATATGGTATCAGCATATACATCACATAGTAGATGTTATGGAACAGCCTCCCCCCTGGAGATCAGTCTGGCTTCCTCTTTGCTGGCCTTTGAGAAACTCTTGAAAACTGAACTGCTTTCAGAGAGCTGCCCTCTGATATGAAAGTTGCCATCACAACTTTTTTTTAATCTTCTTTTTATGTTATATTGAACAGTTCTTATTCCTGAATTGTTTTAATACAGTAGTAGTTTTATTTTTACCATGGATATTTCAAATTGTATCCTTTCTATGTCAACTGCTGGGAGTCTTTTTTGACTACATAGAAATATGTTAAATAAATAAATAGTATTTCTCGATTCTAAAGAAAATCCAATCAAAATGCCCTTTTATATTCTGAGCTAATCTGCCAACTAACTTCCTTTAAAAAAAAACTACTGGAACAGCAGATGAATGCCATTTCAGCACAGTTAAGTTCTATATTCACATATGCTCATTTTATGAGATTATTTCTAACTACATCAGTAACAGAATTCAACCCAGTATCTGAAAATCAAGTCATGTTCTCACTGCTTCCAAGCTCAACACCTGTGATCAGCAGCACATTGTAATTCTGATTTGAAAATAAGGATGGCAATTTCCTTATTGCTGCATGGGAAAAGTGTGATAAAATATCTCGGTCTACAATGCTACTGAATTATGTGCCCTTCTGTAATAATAATTATTTGTTGGAAAGCCAAACGGGTTGTAGCAGCTGCTGTGCCAGGCCCATGGAGTATCTTTTATCTGGCAGTAGTTGATACTCGACATTTCAATGCAAAACAGACTAGCCAAGCAAAACAGATAGTAAAACGTTGGACTTACACGTGGTTTTGCCTCTGAGGGTTGGAACCTCAGTTATTAAAATTATGAAGAACAGCAACATCAGCTATTTTGATCACAGATTGAGTGTTCGTTGACATTAGTGCAAATGCTGATTTC